TTTCATACACTCTAATTTTGTTACAAATGTAATTTAATTTAAACCAGTAAGGAAAGTTTAATAGTCGGACGAGGCTGACTATATGATACACTTTACCACTTTGTGTATATACAAGAGATGTTAATGTCTACAATATTCTGTAGATAGAACAGACATAGAATCTTTGGAGGACCATTGAGATGGAATTCGGCGAAATTAAATGTGCTATCTAGATAGATATTTGAATCACTTGAAAAAACAACCCATGCACATACCATTCTGAAATCAATGAAAATGGCATGTCAAACGTGCAGACTTGGATTCTTTGGTGTACCATTTGCATGAAATCGAGTAAAATTATGTATGGGAGCTATATATAAACACATGGACCTAATTGAGCAACCGCTGCATACATAATTTGTTTTTATACCCTTCACCACACTGTGGTACAGGGTATTATGTCTTTGTGCATATGTTTGTAACAGGCAAAAATAATCGAGATAGATCCATGGTTCCTTTTGATAATATGCTTAGAATCACTTTCTGAGTCGATTTATGCATGTCCGTCTGTCCGTCTGTCTGTCCATGTTAAATTGTTAACAAAATACAGGTCGCATTTATGATCCGATCTGGATGAAATTTGGCACAGGTCACTTAATTGGCCCAAGGACGAACATTGAAATTGGAGAAAATCGGACAAGTTTAGGCATAGCTCGCATATAAGGGTACCCCAATTTTCGGTATTTTTAAGGGTTCTTAAGCGCGTTTTTTTAACTGAATTCGCTGAAATTTGGTACTTTGAGTTCTTATTGGGTAGCAAATCTCTCCACTGGGTCCATATTTTCGGATAGCTCCCATATAAGGGTACCTTTTATTTTGCGGTATTTTGGGTGTTTTGATCGCATTTTTCGACCGAATTCGCTGAAATTTGGTACTTTGAGTTCTTATTGAGTAGCAAATCTCTCCACTATAAATAATAAATATAGGTCAATTTTTTCGGGTAGGCCCCATATAAGGGTACCCCCCAATTTTCGGTATTTTGGGGTTCTTGAACGCGTTTTTCAACCAAATTCTTTGTAAATGGGTTTTTTGTAGTCGTATATGGTAACAAACCTCCCTCCCAAAAATTATTAATATTCGCCCTCCTTTTTATACCCTTCACCACACTGTGGTACAAGGTATTGTGTCGTTGTGCATATTTTTTTTAACATGCAAAAATAATCGAGATAGATCCATGGTTCCTTTTGTGAATATGCATAGAATCACTTTCTGAGTCGATTTATGCATGTCCGTCCGTCCGTCCGTCCGTCCATGTATTTTTGTTAACAAAGTACATGTCGCATTTATAATCCGATTTGAATGAAATTTGGCACAGGTTACTTAATTAGCCCAGGGACGATCCCTATTGGAGAAAATCGGTTCAGATTTAGATATAGCTCCCATATATATTTTCGTCCCATTTTAACTTATTGATGCATCAAACTCCCAATTGTGGTCCGACTGAGACAAAATTTTTCACAGAGTATTGAATTAGGTCTAGATAGTTATGTGCCAAGGTTTGTTGAAATCGGTTCAGATTTAGATATAGCTCCGATGTATAGTTTCGTCCGATTTAATGTAAATAGTGCACTAAACTCCCAATAGTGGTCCGACTAAAGCAATATTTTGCACAGAGTACTGATGTATGAGAAATTTTGTTGGAATCGGTTCAGATTTAGATATAGCTCCCATATATAGTTTCGTCGGATTTAAAGTAAATTGTGCACCAAACTCCCAATATTGGTCCGATTGAAGCAAAATTTTGCACAGAGTGCTGAATTAGGTCCCGACTGATGCATGCGAAATTTCTATATCTACAGAAAATTGTAGATATTAACATGTCTTGCATGTACCCATAGTGGTGAAGGGTATCATATAGTCGGGCCCGTCCTACTTTTGAACTTTCCTTACTGGTTTGTTATCACTCTATATTCAATTTAATACCCTCTGCCGAATTTCGTGTAAATCGATCAAACATTGGCCTGTCGGAGCACCAATTACATAAAATCGAACGAAAATATATAAAAGACCTATATGAAAATCTGAACCGATTTCAACAAATTTTGTCACACATCATTTTCCCTGAATTGCATCCGATATGCAAAAATTTTGTCCCAATCGGACAAATATTGGGAGTTTGGGGTATCATTTACATAAAATTGGACGAAACTATATATGGGAGCTATATCTAAATCTGAACCGATTTTAACAAAACTTTGCAGATATCTGTCTGGGCCTGATTAAGTGCGCTGTGCAAAATTTTGTCGCAATCGGACAAATATTGGGAGTTTGGTGTATCATTCACAAAAAATCGGACGAAACTATATATGGGAGCTATATCTAAATCTGAACCGATTTTCTATAATTTCATTAGGGTTTGTCTTTGGGCCAAATAAGTGAACTGTGCCATATTTCAACCAAATCGGATAATAAATGCGACCTGTACTTTGTTCACAAAAATACATGGATGGACGGACAGACGGACATGCGTAAATAGGCTCAGAAAGTGATTCTATGCATATTCTCAGAAGGAAGCATGGGTCAATCTCGATTCCTTTTGAAAACCAAATTCGGCCAAGCGAGGCAACACTTTATCTGTTTTGCACTTTTTGGAATTTCAATGGTTTTACCCCGAGCTCACTTTTCAATATTTGCCGAATAGAACATTGCGATATGTTTTCGAACAATTTCTTCCGTCCACTTTCTTGACGTCGGCTAGCCTGCGCTATCGAATTTAGAATCCAAATGATGTCATAGGAAAAAATCATTTTTTGAAAAGTGGGATACTCGAAAGTCGAGATAAACCTATGAATCCAAAAAATCCACAGAATCCACTTTCTTGACGTCGGCTAGCATACGCAATCGAATTTAGAATCAAAATGATGTTATGGAGAAAGAATCATTTTTTTGAAAAGTGGGATACTCGCAAATCAAGATAGACCTATAGATCCAAAAAATTCGCAGAATCATCCTTGAAGCTGGATTTAATCGGCAAAAAAATTGGCCCACCCTAATATACATACAATACAATTTTCGGTTTAATAAATTTAGCATGTTTGTGTACTAACTTTCTGATATAAGATATTGGAACCGATTTTATTATCTAACCAGTGAGCGGAGCAGTATAGTCGGACGGGGCCGACCATACGATACCCTACACAACTTCCATGAAAATCTAACTTTCTGTGGTTCTATATTCTGAGATTGGGCAATATTTCGCGATATTTGCACACTTTTGACTGGCTAGTGGTCAGCAAATGTTACTAATAATCAGTACAGCCCCTCTACATACTTGTTCAGATTCTCTTCACCGTGGGTTATGTTGTGATGTTCGGCTTTCGACTCGAAAAGTACAAATAATTAAGTTTTCGGTCCACTTCATCCGAAAAATTATTATCTGATACTCACCTAACATTTCAGGCGTTGTCCTTGACCATAACTGGAATATCATGGAACATTTCAAAGCGATCCGCGCTATATTTCCGCCCTCCAGTGTGGTAACAAGTTATTAAATAATATCTGAATACGTAAGCACCTGTAAATATTTAAGTGTAACTCCCGCATCCGAGTACCTACGACAATATAATTGGTATCAATTAAAAGATCAACCACTCCTCTTGGGTATACTATCAACTTCTCTGGTCTACGTCCTTCAGTGGTAAAAATATACGCTATAGAATACAAATGTTGTCATTTTTCACACAAAAGGGTGGGTCTAGGACCAATATTTCGCGGCATTATAAACTCTTGGGGCTTCTAATGAATTGTGATGAATTGCAAATGAAATTTTAGAATTTTATCATTAAAATATTCTGAATTGCATCTAAAAATGTTCCGAATATTTATTATTTTAGAAATCCAATAAATACATAAATAAATTCTGAGTATCTCTATCTATGGAGATGATGTAAGTAACTACAATTAAAATAATTTAAAATAAACCAAGAATATTATAGATTTTTTTAGAAATTTTATTTCGTAGAATTGCTGAAATTTTTTTAATAATCAATAATGAGTAGAAATTCTTTAGATTATATACGCTTATTATGCTTCAATATTTAAAATTTAACCATACCAAAAATAGTATCATAATATGTTCATGAAAATAAATCAGAAAATCGAATTACATTTACAATCAACATTTAACGTAGAAATATCATGGCTTAATCCGAAAAACAATTGATTTATTATATTTTGATACTTCAAAAGTTTTAATATATATTAACATATATATAAAAAAAATATGTATTTTCTTATTTTTAAAAAAATTCATTTTAATTTGCCAAACATTGAATTTGCTACATTATTTTGTTTTTATTTTCTTCTTATTTTTTGCAGATTTCATTGCGTGTGCATGTGAATTAGCACAAATGTTATAAAAAAAAACAAAAAAAAACTTATTTCTTTTGTGGCAGCTCATAAATTACAAAATTCTCTTACACAAAAGTTGCAAGAAGTTTTCACACACACAAAAAAAAACCAAAAAGAATTCATTCATTTCGTTGGCAAAAAGTATAAATTTGCAAAATATTTCAAATTGTTGAGAAGCGAGAAGGAACAGAACATAAAACGCCAAACAACATGGCCGATGATATCGCATCGATGCGCATGATGCAAAAGAAGACACGCAGTGCTTCCATATGTGCCACCGGTGGTGGCAGTCTTGAAAATGCCATCTATAATATGCCTTCGGGCAATAATACACCGGAAAATGCCGGTACACCAAATTATCGTAGACGTCGTCCCGCCACCAGATCACAGAGTGCTCGTATTACAGCTGGAAGATCGGTAAGTAGTGAATATGCCTTGGCTTTGTGTTTCCCTTAGCACAAACATATATTAAGTTTGTTTTAAATATTTTAAGTAGCTTGTTAAAGTTTTACCGAGAATTAATAAACGCCACTTTGACTTTTCTTTTCTTTGCATTTATGTAATTGTTTGAAAGTTTATGTGCAACATTTTTCTACAAAGACTTGAAACTATACAGACACACACACACCTAAGAACATACAATGTATGTAAAAATGCCCTTGCATGTGACTTTCTTGAATTGACTTTCACATACTTATCTGTATAGGTGTGTGTGTGTGTGTTTGTATATAATATAATTTAAATGGATACCCGCGCGCACACATGTTCTCATAATTTTGTTTCATCTCGACATGTGTTCTGTGCCGTCGTGTTGTCGTTTATTTAAGTTTATTAAACAGAACATACAACAATGTACAGTGGGGGAAAAGGTGATGACAGATATGACATCTAAAATCGATCGACACTTTTAAATGGTAGGAATATTTGACATAAAATGAAATATTAAATTCGGCTGATAAACGTTTCCTAAACCCTCCGCAATATGGGTCCTAACCTTCATTCAAGAAAATTCATAAATACTAAATTTAAGCCAATTCGGTTGAGGAACGTGTAATTTTTGCTAACAACCCAATATAAATCCAAAATATCCCATTTTCAAAACCAAAAATTAACAAGTGAAAAAGCGTTAAGTTCGGCCAGGCCGAACTTTGGATACCCTCCACCATAGGTATACTAACCGATACTAGCATCGAAAATATAGGGTACATACCCAAAACCGAAAATTCAATGTACACCAAATACAAATTTCGGCGCTTTTTAATGGATATTTTTCTTAAAAACTCCAGAAAGTGGTCCGATATTGACGAAGCATGGTAGGGTGGAACATCTCCAAAATACTGAATTTAAGAATTTAATTATATAAAGTCATCACCAATATACACAGGTTTTATTTCGGCCTAATTGAGAACAGATATAGCTCTATTTCGAAATTAACATTTTTGCATCAGAATATATTTCTTTGCGGTATATATAAAAAATATCGAAAATCGCTAGGTATCATTATATGGGGGCTAGGCCTAAATGTGGACTATATTTCAACGTTCTCAATATCCTCGCGGAACAAATCAGATAACTATTGCAATATAAAAAGTGGTTGATATGGGGACTACCCCTAAAAGGGGTGAATATTAAAAATTTTTGGTAGGGAGATTTGTTACCATATACGACTACAAAATACCAAATTACAGCGAATTCGGTTGAAAAACACGCTCAAGAAGCTCAAAATATCGAAATTTGGGGGTACCCTTATATGGGGGCTACCAGAAAAAATGGACTTATATTTATAATTTTCAGTGGAGATATTTGGTACCCAATAAGAACCCAATGTACCAAATTTCAGCGAATTCGGTTGAAAAACGCGCTCAAGAACCCGAAAATACCGAAAAGGGGGGGTACCCTTACCTAAACGTGGACCGATAAAGCCCATCTTCGAACCTGACCTGTCTGCAGACAAAAGACGACTCTATGCTAAATTTTGGCGATCTATCTCAATTCGTTTAGACGCTAGAGTGATTACAACAGACAGACGGGGATGGCTATATCGTCATAGAATTTTACGCTGATCAAGAATATATATACTTTATAGGGTCGGAAATGATTAGTCTGTTACAAACGGAAAACAAAATGAATATACCCTCCATACTATGGTGGGTACCCAAAATATCAAATTACAGCCGATTCGGTTAAAAAAGATTTCAAAAATATCGAATATTTGGGGCTATACCGTTGAATATTTCCAGATGTTGTAAAGGGAATGACAAATTTAATATACATTTGGCTTTTATTGGTTTAATTGGGCTAAAATCCCTCTCGGTTGTCTATTCAGCTGTCGTTGGTTTGCTGATATAGGTCTATAGCCTAGGTCCATGTAAATGATATATAGTCGATTTTATGGACTTTCAAAAAAGCTAAAGGGAACTTGCAGTTTCACTATACGGGTTTTGGACCAATTGCTTCTGAATTCCACATATGAGGACCCCACCTAAAATCTTATCAGCAACATTTTTGTTGTATATTACGAAGATGAAATTTAGTTAGAATAACGAAATGTTCTAAAAAAATCCCCATTCGATATTAATGCAGATAGTACTTACTTACTTAGCTGGCTTGTTACAGAACTGTTGCTCCATAAGCCGAGCTTAAAAAAGATTTCCAAGCACGTCGGTCTTGTGCGCAAGTCCACCAATTTGGAAGACCACGTTCGAAGATGTTGTTTTCTACTTGGTCTTTCCATCTAATTCGTGGCCTTCCCCTTCTACGGGAACCATCAGTATACTCATTTTTATATGCCTTTTGAGCTGGGGCATTTTCATTAATCCGCACAACATGGCCTAGCCACCGTAGTCTCTGCAGCTCAATACGACTGACTATGTCGATGTTCGCGTATAAATTGTAAAGCTCATGGTTCATTCGACGCCGATATTCACCGTCGACGCAGATCGGCCCGTAGATCTTTCGGAGAACTTTTCTCTCAAACACCCCAAGAGCTGCCTCATCTGCTTGCGCAAGTACCCATGCTTCTGATCCATATAATAGCACGGGTTGTATCAGCGTCTTGTAAAGTGTGAGTTTGGTCTGGCGGGAGGTGGAGGCTCAGAAGGGTCTTATACGACGAAGCACACTCCTATTCGCCTTGTCTAATCTGTTGACTTCTAGGGTGAGGTCTTTTACTCTGGAGTCTTGAGTGCGACGACAAAGACCTTTACAGCGAAGATAATGACACGATGAGAGCTGAGCTGAACCAACATACATCAACACAAATCATATCTTAACTATTACAAACATTAAGTCGTTGGTTGGTGATGACTGGTCAGATCTCACTAATATAGCAATTATTTTTTACAGGATCCTGAAACCACAATGAAGTTCATGGAAGTTTAAATAGTGCACAGTATTTGTACGACAAGAAGGGTAAAAAACGTAGGTTAGAGCTTCCATTTATTGTGTGTATTAAAACCGAAAATAGTCCGGTTCAATATTTATTTATATTTATTTATGGTATGCACATAAGGTATTAAACCCGGGTTTATTAACTAAATATCCGGTTCAAAAATTTATAAAACCGGATATTCCTTTCTCGGATCCGACAGTTCTTTATAATAAAGAATTTTGCTGAATATACGGGTAAAATTGAGAAAATACAACTACTAAATATTAAATTATCGTTAAAATATCAATGGATATTGTGCAGTCCCTTCATATAAAATAGGCTCGCCAGCATAAAAATGGCCTATTGGTATTTTTCTCTTCTGGGGTTTTCATATACTCACCAAGCTCTTTCATCCCCAATAGGAATTTTCAACCTCCCAAAATCTACGTTTTATGCTCGCCTTTTAAATATTGGAGAGGTTTGAAGAGCTATCCTTAATGTACAATGTACACTTCCTTTTAATACCTTTAATAAATATTAGTATGGTGGCTATATTTGGGTTATCATTATGTATGAAAATTCTATTATTTTATAGTCTTACAGTCCGAAGGTGGAATTCGAGCAATCCATTCAATAATTCTTACAAGAATCTCAAAACTTTTGAGATAGAAATCATTGAAATTTTATTTTTATTTAAAAACCAATGAGCTTAACAGTATAGTCGGCCCTATGACGCCCTACACAACTAGCATGGAACTCTAATTTTCTGCGGATATTTATTACGAGCCTGGACAATATTTCGTGATATTTACACCCACTTGCCCGATTAGAGGTCAACAGCACCTCTTTCTTACACTGTCATATTTTCCGAATATTACTAATATTCAGTACAGCCCTTCTAATAACTTGTCCAGATTCCCTTCGCGGTTTTCTTTATCTTCGGTTCACTTTATCCGAAAATTATTATGTGATTGTCACCGAAAATTATAGACGTTGTGTTTCACAATAACTGGAACCTCATGGAGAATTCTAAAGCGGTCAGTGCTATATTTCCGCCCTCTAGTGTGGCAATGAGTTACTATATGAATACGTACATACCTGTGAATATTTAAGTGTAACTCCCACATCCGAGTGCCTACGACAATGTAAATGGTATCAACAACCTTCTCGGCTCCATGTCCTTCAGGAGTAAATATATACGCCATAAAATACAAATTTTGCAATTTTCACACAAAAGTCAGGGCCCGTTTGATCCGCTAAATAATGACCAATCTTTATCAAAACAGGCATGCTTATTCCAATCCCCTTCTCCATGTAAAAATTCGCAACCAGAAAATCCGATAAAAATTAAGTATTTGGTCAATTTCATTGCCTGAATATTAACCGATTTTTACCAAAAATAAAAGGGGTATTCATTGGCCAGAACCCAACGTACATGCAAAATTTCGTGAAAATTGGTCCATAACTGTGGTCTGTATAGTGTTTGCAAATTATAATGGACAGACTGACGGACGGACACACATGTCTAGATCGACTCAGCTAGACGAGATATGACGATCGGTCGAAATATGGATCTAGGACCAATATTTCGCGGCATTACAAACTCTTGGAGCTGCACAATGCTATAATACTCTGACAACATAGTTGTGTAGGGTATAAAAAAGATATTAAAAATTCCACTGTGTCTGTACAACCTTTCACAACAATCATATTTCTCAGCCAGTCCCCCCAACGGATGTTGTTCGTTCACGTATCCTTGGCTCTTTGTTTACATGAGATATATGATGTACATCGTACATCTCACATGAGTTCTTTTACTTTTATCTTTTAACTTTTTCTTTCAGTTCTAGACATACGCACATTTCCATATTTTGCTCCTATATATTTATGCACACTCGTACATATTTCTCCAACTTCTCGCCACGTTCTTTCAGTTCACTTCATCTTTATTGAAAGACAGTTCCTTTGGCAATGCTCTTCTATTTCAATTTTATTTATTTTTATTAACAAGCTGCAGCAACAAATTGTCTGTTAAATTAAGTGATAG